GTCACTTGAATAGCTCAACTTTTTAATCCTTAGTATTTACATTTTCATTTTGTTTATTTAATATTCATTAAATCCGATTTTAAAAATTTATACAGTTAAAAAAATTTCAACAAAAGGGTACAATAAAGTGCAAGTTTCAAGTGTCTGTAAAATATTGGTGATTTTTGACAAATTTTTGGTAATGGTGCTGCGCATTTTCTCTCATACAAAGTATGCTCGACAAAATTTTTATATGGAATAAAATGCGCAGCACCGTCAATAAAAAACAAACAAAAAATTCAAAAATCAGGGCTCTTTTAGAGTCACTTGAAACTTGCACTTTATTACACTATAATTGAATGGGCTACAAATCTGCATATCCGAAATTTTTCTAAACATATTACTAACTTATTCACTGCAGGTCATTAGGATCCCAGCAAACACAGTTTCAAACGTTTGAGAAAAATGTATTTCTCAATTTGATATCAAATGTTTTTCTCGAATGATTCTCAAATTGAAAAAGGTTTAAATTTTACATTTGAAATTCATTCGAGGTTGATTTGAAGAAAGATGGCAAGTGTCAAACGATATAAAAATCCGCAGTTAAATCGAAAATTGTAAGAAAAATCAGATCAATTGAACAAAAAAACAATGAATAGAAAAAAAATTTCCAAAGAGAAAGCCCACAAATAGTGGAGTTGATGTTTGCGCGGATTGAAGAAGCTGCATCCCTTCAAGACGAATTTATTATAAATTACTTATTATTACTCTTGATTGTTTCCTTTGTTATGTACATATATATGTACATCGCGAAGAAAAAATTAATATGAAATATACATTTCCTATAATAAATATTATTTCCACATTTGAAGTATAATTGATAAATAACCTTTGAAATTGATTTGAGAGTTAACCATATTCTCAAATGAAGATCAAACTCCCCTTTTTATTGAGGAAGCTGTAATTTTCAAATCAATATCAAATCAGTTTCAAACGTTTGACATTTGAGAAAGGCTTTAATTTCAAATCATTCTCAAATGTATACCAAACCTAATTGTTTGCTGGGATGGCACACTCCTATGTTGACCTTTTTTAAGAACTGTTTACAGCTCTCAAGAAAATGAAAAATCATATAAAATGCTGCCCAAGAAATGGAAAAGAAATTTTCCTTTAAGTTTTAATTTGTAAAAAAATTTAAAATTGCATTTACCCGTAGAATATGCTATATTTTTACAAAAAATGTGTATTAAATAAACGAGAGGAAAACTGTGAATACTAAGGATGAGAGGGTGTGCAATTCATATGACAAGGAGTGTATATGAGCAGATGTGATCACTACCCCAAGTAAACGCGAGCTGAAAGTGTGATTGAGCTAGTGTGCCAATTACGTTTGAATGATTTTGCGTTCCCTTTGCATGTATACGCATTTAATGCTTACGCTCTTTAAGCAGGCGCTCAATCTCTGTCCGTGCTTGTATATGAGAAAATTTGACATCGCTATAACTGTTGCCGACTTTGTGCCTTTCGCAATAAATTAAGTGCGTTTAGGGAATTAAAACGTGAACATTTTTTAGTTTAGCGCTTGTTTCGTTCTTTGGTGCCCTTTCCAAGGTAATTTTATAATAAAAACGTGATTCTATGGTGACATTGTATTTATTTTGTTCATACATTTATTCATTCCGAACGTACGGAAAACTTTATCTGTTGACTTAAGGTGCTGGCCCAATGTAGGCTTGCTTTGCTGGCCTTACTGACTTCATTTTGCTTTAATTTACTTGAAAAGCTTGTTTGGCCAAATGTAGCTTGGAACGCTGTCAAAGCAATCAGCTGTGTGGTTGCGAAATTAAAGTATGTTCCATTTACATTACAAATTTCCTTCAAAATACAACATGAATTAATAATAAAATTAATTAAAAAAATAATAATAGGAACATCGTCTTAGCTTCTAATCTTTTCAGAATTATTTTGAAATTCATGTGAATTATTATTTTTTTTTTGATTTCAAGGAAAAGATAATAATGAAATAATTATACCAGCTCATTTACATATAAAAAACTCTTAACTCATAAAGGCGCTTTTTCACGGAACTATTGATGAGTAGTTATTATTGCTTATTGCACGGCTTCTATAGCATATACATACGTTTAATACAAATATAGAAAGAGAATAATCACTTTTATTTAACGTTGAATTACTTACATTTTTCGGCAACACTTTTTTAAATTAAGACATTGATTTACAAGTACATATGTATATATGTATGTACATCCTTGCAGCATTTTTAGTTAAACAACATTTTGTTTAAAAAAAACCTTTAGCAATTTGCTTGAATTCATTTATCACGAAAACATATCTCATTGTCAAAAGCCTGCAAAGCGTTGTCAAATAGAGATTTCGGCTATTTGAAACTTTGAAGCGCTTCAAGCAAGTGAAGTGAAGCTACCATTTGGCCAACTTTCATACATTTTAGTAGAGTTCAAAAACTGTTTGACAATTTTCAAAGCGAAGCAAGCAAAGCAAGCCTACATTGAGCCAATCCTTTACACATATGTTAGTGTTTGGCCGAGCTTCTCCTCTGGATAATATGCTCCTAGATAATCCAAACGCAATATTTTCACACAGTCTCTATCACGGAATTCATAAAATATTCTGCTAATTATACGGTAGACAAACGGGCTCGATTATTTGCATAACCAGCCTTAATTTGCTTTAACTCATGCATTTTCGTCTTTAAAATGAGCATAAGCAGCCGAACAAATGCACGAAATTTTTGGGAATTAACTCGGATCCGGGGAATTTTCGATGACAACACTGGTAAAAACGGCCAGTTGTTGTCTTTTGTACAAGTAAGCAAACCAAGCAGTCGAGTTTAGCGTACGCGGTAGCCGAGTGGTGAGAGTTGCGAGCTACAAGCCTGTAGATGCCAGGTTCGATACTCGGTTGGGGCGATTGCGAAAAAACTTTTTGTTTTTATTATTTATTTTATATTTTTTTATTTCATTTTATTTATATATTTAATTTTACTTTATTTTATTTTCATTTGCTTTATTTTATATCACATTTCTTATTTTACTATTAGTTAATTTTAATTTTTAGAGATGAATTTTGTTAAAAATTCAACAACAACTAACTGAAAGTAACGTAAAAAAATATAGAACTTATAAAACAAAGAATGAAAAAGAAATAAAAAAAAGTATACTGGCCGTGGGACTCGAACCCACGACCTTGCGGCTGGTTTATTCGCATTACTGCCGTCTGTATGGGTAAAATTTTAATTTGCATTTATGCTTATTAATTCAAATTAATTTTCTCCGTCTGTCTACCATATTAGCTGGGTGTGCGCATTTGTACAAAAGTAAGCAATTGCATGAAAATAAAGCCGCTAGAGAAACCAAGTACAGTTTTGCAAATTGTTTTACGAATAAAAAAAAAAAAACATTTTACTAATTAAATTAATTAACTGCGCATAGTTGGAAATATTTACAAGTAACATTGCGTGATTACTTAAAATATTTGATATACAACTTTATATGCAGAAATACCATTAAACACAGCAACACAAATTTGGTGTTTCTTTTGGGAAAATTGCGCTATTTTCAGTGTTTGGTGCTTTTTTAAATAAAGAAAAGAACCAAAGAACGAAACAAGCGCTAAACTAAAAAAATTTCACGTTTTAATGCCCTAAACGCACCTAATTTATTGCGCACAAAGTTGGCAACAGTAATAGCGATATCAAATTTTCTCATATACAAGCATGGACAGAGAGTGAGCGCCCGCTTAAAGAGCGTAAGCATTACATGCGTATACATGCAAAGTGAACGCAAAATCATTCAAACGCAATTGGCATACTAACACAATCACACTTTCAGCTCGCGTTTACTTGGGGTAGTGATCACATCTGCTCATATACACTCCTCGTCATTTGAATTGCACACCCTTTCAATCCTTAGTATTCACAGTTTTCCTTTCGTTTATTTAATATAAATTTTTTATAAAAATATGGCATATTCTACGGGTAAATGCAATTTTAAATTTTTTTTACAAATTAAAACTTAAAAGAAAATTTCTTTTCCATTTCTTGGGCATAATTTTATATGATTTTTTCGTTTTCTTGAGAGCTGTAAACAGATTTTAAAAAAGGTCAACATAGGAGTGTGCCATCCTAATGACCAGCAGTGAATAGTTAGTAATATTTTTAGAAAAATTTCGGATATGCAGATTTGTAGCCCATTAAATTATAGTCTAATAAAGTGACTCTAAAATAGCCTTGATTTTTGAAATTTTTTTATTTTTTATTAACGGTGCTGCGCATTTTATTCCATATAAAAATTTTATCGAGCATGCTTTGTATGAGAGAAAATGCGAAGCACCATTACCAAAAATTTGTCAAAAATCACCGCTATTTTACAGACATTTGAAGCTTGCACTTTATTGTACCCCTTTGTTGACATTTTTTTAACCCTGTATAAAGTTTTAAAATCGGATGTAATGAATATTAAATAAATAAAATAAAAATGTAAATACTAAGGATTAAAAAGTTGAGCTATTAAAATGACGAGGAGTGTATGTGGCGTACGTTTGAGAGAGTTGGCCTTTTTACTCCAGAATGCGTGTGCAGTGGCTCTCATTGGTATACGTGTATTAGTAAGATTCGTTGTCCCCTTCATGTTTGCCCATGATTTTCCCCTGATCTAGCCCGCGAAATGGGCTCCCTTGCCCGTACGGGCAAAAAGTCCATACGGGCAAATGTGCCGATGTCTGATTTAATGCAAGCAAGAAAAAATAAAACAGGTACCCTAAACTCTTTCGAGACGATGCATTTTTAATATATCTTGCTTCTTATATCAAAATATGACTTTTCATAAAAATTTTACTTAGTAACTTTTCACTTTAAGCTAGCGATATTGCTTTTGTAGATTTACTTTATAGTTTTTTGTTTTTTGGCGGAAAACGTGACTAATTAATATATGAAGTTGGGTTCACTTGAAATCGGTACGCAATTACAATAATAATACACTTACACGACCATCATCCCAGTATTTGGCGAAACAAAGATCTCCAACTTTCCAATCCCAGCCCTCACCTGGTATCATTCCAAAATGAGTCTGAACTGCCGCTATAGTGCCTACTGTAGATGGATTTAGTGATGAATATTCATTTATAGGTGCAGCATACCCACTTAGCTGAGGTGGGGCTTGTATATGGGGCGGTACATGCGAAATATAACTTTCATTAGAAATATGTAGATTTGGTTGGGAGCCGGGATTATCTATATTTGGCGAAACTAAATTTCGTTGCTGTTGACTATATATTGTTGACTCAGAAGAGCCTAGGCCTTGACTTTTTAACAAAGTCAAAGCAAATTCATTTGTTTCTTTATTTTGAAATCCGATAATTTTACTTGTATCATAACCATAACCTTTAGGCAATTGTGTTGAACTTTGGATTTGGTTTGCCAGCTGAGCGCCTCCTTGAGCTTGTGCAACAAATTGGGAATCATGCAAATTCGAACGACCGTCGGCAATCGAGCTATTTCCCGTTAAATGAGGATCATTACGTACGGGATCTGATAATCTTATTTTAGAAGTAGCTTCTATTAATTTATGCATTGGATTTGCATTATTGGAATTTGAGTTTTGAGCGCCAGAATTTTTGGCGGCAGCGCTATTTTTATTATCTATATTATTATTTTGTTGACGATTACTGTTCTCACGTTTGCTATTAAAGCGATTCCTGCTTTCATTCTGACCACCGCTGCTACGTTCTTCCCCACCATGACTTCTTTGTTGTTGCCTTTCATTTGCCCGCTTGCTGGCATAACCACTGGTTCCATTTTCCTGAAACCCACCGCTTAAAGGATTCAAACCCTTTCCCCGTTCATAGTTTCCGCGATTAATACGTCCTTGGTTTAGATTATGGTTATTATTTATAGTCTGACTGCCAGACCCACGCGCAGTGTCGTTAACACGTTCATTGCCATTGTGTTTAAATGGATTAAAGATTGATGTACTTCTGCCTCGTTCGTGACTACTTCGACCGCCCCGATTATAAGCACGATCGGTCCTTTGACGAGCATTTGGTAGCCCGGTTGAACGATTAGCCGCGAAACTGCTGGACATATTATTTTCAAACCTTGGTCGTAAAACACTATTCGGGTCAACATTGTCCTCCGCATGCTTACTGTCTGTATGTGTAGATTTCGACGCCTCTTTTTTATTTCTATCGAATTTACCTGATTTCAAAGGATTGGTGGAAACGTTAGACGTAGTATGCGGTATAGATGCAGTATTGGCTGTTGTAAGCACATTCGTTGCTGCATCTACAGGGAGCTTGTCAGTCAAAAAATCGAAAAGTGACACATTTCCAGCCGGTTTCGCCACAACCGTTTCTTCTTTTGTCATTGAGCCACCACGTTTTCCAATATCTCGCACTGGCGGACCTCGACCGTTCTTTGCAGAATAGGTGGTAACTTGTAAATTTTTGGCACTTCCGATCTCTTCTGTTCGTTTACTCTCACCACGGCGCTTGAGATTGTATAGCGCTCGTTCCAGGTTATTATTGGTAGCACGCAGAGCCTGCTTAGCGTCTTCTTCGCTAAAACCTTTTTCGAGTATCTTTTTAACATTATGGTCCAGCATTTGTTGTCCTCCTCCGCCGAAGACCTAATAACAGTTAAAGACAAAGCAAAATATTCAAGATATATAATTTCGAAAACTGATGCTAAGCTTAGATTGTGTATTTGTGAGTTTAGCAAAGTTTAAACTACATACATACTATATACATACATACATATATAAGAGACCTTAAACTTAAAATAGTAATATTTAGGCCTATAAGTTGGTAAAAAGATATTCTTAATGATTTTGACATTCTTCTAGTTCTTCAGAAATCAGATACGCCAGAGGAAGAAATAACTTATTAAAGATCTACACAATCAACACGTCATCGAAGTCTACAAATAAAAAAAAAGTTGTGTGTGGATCACACGCGCAGCTGAAGTGAAACTTTTTATTTCTCTATTCCCGTATTCAAAGTTGAATTCAACGTTTTAAACAGGTGACAACCCTCTTCAAAAATTTGATAAACATTTCCAAAAGTATGTTTAAACTTAAATCTCTTTCGTCTGACATTGGGAGACAAATTTTAAATAATTGATTACTTAAGTTCAGAAATAAAGCCTTTCCAAACCCATTTCGGCAGATACCCTTTTAATAATTCATTTAACTTTATTAAATAACTAGCAGAACCGGCGAACTTCGTCCCGCCCAAAATTAGATTTCTAATTTAAACAGTTTGGTCTAACAGTTTCTCCAACAATCCACATTTACGATTTGTACTGGCATATTCATCGGTTAAGACTATGGTTTGGTGGTCGTTTGCCGCCTTAAATAACCGAACGAAAGTGTTATGTCCATGAGAAGTTCCCTGGTGTCAACAATGATGCGGATCTATAGTGAATGTGCCCTAGAAACTTTATTTTACAGTTGGTGGCATTTTCAAAATGGATGGATAACCTCGTTCAACAGAAATGCAATATACATATCCAGCCACCAAAATATCCGGAAACATATCCGAAAATGGAAACAATTTCGTACAAAAACTTGATGTTTCATCCGTTTTAGGATACCGTTTTCGGACGTTTTTCAGATCAGTTCTCCCACTAAAGTGTTCACCCGAAACGTATGTGCAGAAAACTATCGAAAATGGTTGTAAAACGGATGCGCTTTAGGCTATTTTCCTGAAATTTGTCTGATTCAATTTTTCGTTGAAAACGATTTCATTATGAACTTCACAGAAACTTTTTCATAGTTACAGGAAACCAAACAAAAAACAAATTTAAGATTCAGCAATTATTTCAATTTGAATTACTAATTTTAATGTGTTGCTTCTGACGGAATGCGAACCTGGGACCTCCTGAAAGCTAACAAATAGTAGCACACTTCTCTGCACACTCAGCTACTGGCGAATACGTATACAAGTTTTCAAATGCTCAGTTTGAACAAATATTTTAAAACTATTGTTTTGAAATAAGATGACATTTTTCGGATCCGAAAAATGAACAAATATGGAAACCGTTTTCTGAACGTTTCCGGATACGAAAAATGTACGAAAACTGCACTGTCAGTAAAAAGTACGTTTCTCTGCTGTCTGGGTACATATACCTTGTTTATACCAACACAAAAAGTGCTTTGTCCCAGTTCGCTGTGATTCGAAACGGAAGCATAAACCAACTTTCAATACGCTCAGTAATTCAAAAGTGTTTGACTCAAATTTGTTTTCAAATCGTTTTTTTATTTCTCACATCGGTTAGAAAACAGGTATAAACACATCACTCATATGACGCGAAGTGAAAAAGGGCTGGTTTTCTTTATATAGCCCGTTTTAAATTTGAATTGTTATTATAACAAATTTGAATTCTTGTTCTCTTTCATTTCGGTCCACTGCGCCAATTAATAATTTAAAAAATGTCGAATAAAAATATTAACATTTGTTTACTTTTGAATACGGTTTCAGCGAGTGCGCTATAACAACACAGGTATAAATGCTTGAAAGAAATATGTGTTGAGTCAAATCATATTTTTGTTAATGCGGTTCTTGCGTAGGTAGGTGAAATGAAATACCTTAAAAGCCAGTTTCACGAAAGCAATTTAAATGAAAAATGATTTTTTTTCTGTAAGGTTCTATATTAAATTCAATTAAAAAAATAAATTTTTATTAAATTGCTTTCATGAAACTGGCTTTTATGGTATTTAGACAGGTGGTTATTTGAGATTTACCACTGCACAACTGAACCCTGGTGTCTCCGAATGAAGATTTAACGCATAATAATATTGGCAAATCACATCCATTGGGCCAATCGTAACACACATGTGACATTCACGGCAGCTTTTCTCACTTGTCGATTTTTAGTAATAACCAGTGTGGCGTTTTAGCCCTCTGGTAGCTAGATTTAGCTACCCCATACTTTTTTTGGCCACATAAATTTAAAATTGCCCCTAGCCCTTTTTTTAGCCCTTTTTAGAATTTATTCATCCTTGGCATGAAAAAGTTGTATATGCTTAATTTGTTTTTTTTTGCATTTATGTATGAGATGAATTTTTAAACTAAGAAAGACAGATATATATACATATATGTATTGTATGTTCCTTACGCTTTTATAAATACATACTGTAAAAGTATTGGGGCTGTTAACTTATCTGTTAACGATTTAACTATACACTCTAAAAAATTTTTGTTTAAATTTGCGCATATTAAGATAGGTAACCAGTTTCCTCTCTTAATGAATGCAAATTTAAACACTGCTTGCTTACTTTTACTCATCATATGTGTGGCGTAGAACAAATTTCAAATTTGTTTTTTGAGTTTTAAACATTTATTGTTCACATTTTCACAGTTTACACATAAAATGTTTAAAATTTCCTCTAAAAAATGTTCGTTTAAATTTACGCATATAAAGAGAGGTAACCAGTTTCCTCTCCTAGTGTGTGCAAAATTAAACAATGTCTGTTTACTTTTACATATCAAATTTGTCACGTAGCGCACACAAGGGGTGGGTTTTGGGGCTAAATTTATTATAATATAAGAAATTTTGAAAGAAAAAATTTTCTTTTCCATTTCTTGTGCGTCATTTTGTAAGAATTTGTCATTTTTTCTTGAGAGCTCTTTAAAGTTTAACTGCGAATGAAAACATTGTCCTAAAAATATGCAATGCATACTCACTTACTGTTGCTTTTTACACTTTACAGCCTATAAAAGTTTACCACTAATATGTACTTAATAAGCATTCGAAGATTTAATTTGCTAACTTCGAATTCGTTCCACCAAAATGAGCTACGTGATAAAAATACAATTTCAGTTAAATTTACGTTATTCGAATTATTAAAAAATGAGAAACCAGAAATCGACGAAAATTAATAAAAGAGTGTAAAAATTTCGTGAAATTATTTAATTTATTTATATTAAAATTCTTTTGTAAAATTTTGTATTACTTTTGAAAGTTGAGTGCATCTTTAACCGTTAATTTTTTCATGATTTAATGATCGGATCTAAACCAAATTACGAGACGACCCTTAAGGTACCATCTTTCCGGTAAAAAAAAATAATTATTGGAATCGGTTCACGCGGTGCAAAGTTATGCGGTGGAATAAATAAAAGAAGTAAAAATACTCCGAAGAATTGATAACCTGCCCTTTTTTGAAGCCGGTTGAAAATGTCTGAGTTCTTTGTAAATTTTATGTAAATAAAATGCAATTTATGAAACTTTAAAAAGTTTATTTATTTATTTCATACTGTACATAAAACTTGCATAAATGTATTTTAAAGAGCGAATTTTCAGTATTTTCTGACGATATATATTTAGAAGTATAAATCCTTTCCCCCCAAAAATATATTCCTGCGTGCGCCCCTGGCACTTAGTATTTATTATTTGTAAAAAATATATTTTTACTTTCAAAATGTTTGTAATTTTCAACATTTTATGTGTATATTTTAAACAACTCATGCTCAAAATCAAATCTTGAACATCTTGTGCGTATACTTGAACAGATTCTGGTTGAAAAATAAACACTTTTCAGTAGTAGTTTTACATGCACTTTTTAGAGTGTAGTTTAAAATAGATAAGTTCACGGCCCTTAATATGCTAAATTTGTTAAATGACCCATCAAGTCGATTGACCGTGTATGTTCTTGTGGTGTGATTGTACCAGCATGCTGATGTCGTTAATGGTGAAATTAGCTCAATTTTCTAAGTAAAAAGTATTTTGGCGGAAATTTCTTGCACTATATGAGTCATCCTCCCCCTTTCTGACGAAGAGGACGTCAACCGGACTGTGGTTGGCTGTCCAGCAGCAGCACGCGAAACTGATGGTGGGGATAGTTCAGATTAATCTCCACCACTGCAAGGCGGCCTCAGCCGCACTTCTCCACCGTCTCGCCGAAAGAGAAGAGGAGATCGCACTCATCCAGGAGCCTTGGGTCATAAAAGATCGGGTTTATGGATTGAATATGAAGGGATACAAGCTGTTCTATGTAACTGACAAAGGTAAACCCAGGTCGTGCATATTGATAAGTGTATTAATGCATTTCTCTTGATACAGTTTAGCGATGCGGACAACGTCATCATAGCAGTGGAATCACGCGGAATGTCTATTTGGCTGGCTTCCACATATATGGCCCACGACGCAGACACATTACCTCCACCACAATCCTTAAGGAGCGCGGTAATGGAAGCCTCTAGACGCGGCACTCCGATGGTCATAGGAGCGAACGCGAATGCCCATCATCACATATGGGGCAGCTCAGATACAAATGAACGCGGTGAGTCGATATTCGAATTCATTATGTGCAATAACTTACAGGTTATCAACGTAGGTGATACCCCTACCTTTGTGACGTCTGTTAGAAGGGAGGTCCTTGACATTACATGTGTCAATGAGCAGGGGGCAGAACTCTTGAATGACTGGAGAGTCTCAAAAGACAACTCCTTTTCGGATCACATGTACGTCGTTTATAACCTATACGTACCAGGAAGAAAACAACAAGCGGTCTTAAACCGCAGAAAAACAAATTGGAAAAAATTTGAAACAATATTTTCTAATAATATTTCCGGCCTCACAAATCAAATAAACTCGGAACATCAACTTGATAACGTCGTAGACGATATA